ATAAGCAATGGTCAAAAGTTGTGAAAATTTCCTTTGAACTTACGCAAGATTTCTGTTCAAGTGTGTTGGAAGTTGTGATTAATTTTGATATCAATAAACATTGTGATTAATATCATTCAAAGTTACGGCCAATTTCAATTATGTATTAAAGTTTGGCATTCCAATGCAGGCTATGAGAAATTTTAATATTCTTTTGATCAATCTCATAAACAGTTTTGGTAGTTTTTTTGTTTTGTAAAAAGACATGATCAATTTATTTGAAAATAATGATCATTCAAAGTTGCTAGTTTTCTTTTCTTGATGCGGTCAATTTCTTTTTTAAATAATGAACATTTCCGATGACCGATGTCACTATAAGTTGTGATAAATTCCAATACAAATGTTATCAAGTTGATATGATAGTCTGCCTTTTTTAAGCTACAGTTGTTTTTACTCGAGACTTTGGCGAATTTCAAATAAAATAGTGTTCATTTTCTTTGCAAAAGCTTGTAACCGATTTTGTTAGAAGTGACGACAAATTTGGTTAGAGATTGAAATCAGTTTACTTCAAAGTTAATCAACATCGTTTGAGTTCTGTTGAGTTTTACTTAAAATTAAAACTTGTGGTTTTTATCATTCGAAAAATAGTTCTATTTCGTTAAAAGTTGCTATGAGTTATGTCGGTTTAAAGGCGTAGAATTTTTTAAAGATGTAATTCAATTTGATACGTTTTCTATAAACTCAAACTCAGTTTTTTTTAAAATGGCATGTAGATTAATATGACGACTGATTTCTGCACTATCATAGAATCGGAAAAAGAAACTGGTTTAAAAAAATTGGAAAACGCACAAAGTAAATTGCACAAATTAGCATAAATCTCGCGTCACTTTTCAATAGGTCCTAACTAACAAATGTAAACAAATCGAACTAAGCGATACAAACTATTGCTCTTGTATCATTGTATGTGATACAAAAACACCTATCTAAATTTACTTTCATCTATTTAAGATAATCATTGGTCAAATATTGTCCAATGTACAGTTTGAAATGATGGGTGCATGATTGTTACATTCGGACTAACTAACATGATTGGTGCCAAGGGGTAGGTCACTCCGCACACCAATTTTGGGTCATCTTTTTTGTCGGTCATAGAGCAAGCTGCGATTGTTTATAAAATACCCATTCTGGCAACCCGGTATTTCTGATACCTTGAATGTTTTGGTTTGAAATCGCAAGGATAAATCGGATTGAGGACGACGCGGGAAGTGGCGGGTGTGCGAAATTTCGGTGTTTTGCGATCCATAGGGTAATAAAAGTCGGGCCTTATTACGGGTGTCACTACACGGTGATAAGGAAGTGAAACTCATAATAAGAACCGTGATTGCCGTACAAATCAAATGGGAATCACTTCACCGTGACGACAAGTGACAATTTGTCACCGTGAAATGACATCCGTAATAGGCCCCGTCCTGTGTTTTAGTGTTTTATAATGCCCTCAAAGGCAGACCAGAAACCTAGCCTTTCGGCCGGAAAGAGTTGGAACCGGTGGGGAGTATTGGTGGAGACCGACTATAGAGGGTAATAGACTTCTTTAGTTTGTTTTGTGAGAGTTGCAGCATTATTTGAATTAAGGGTACTAATGAGGTCTGATTAGCTGCCTCTTCCTCTTGAGTCCACTCTAGAACCTACATTTCGTATTTCGATAAGTGAACTGTTGGTCTGAGTTTCTCTGGTGTATCTAATTAGAAGATGTTCCTGAACATACAGTCAAACAACACGTAATGTTCTGAACAACTTCAATGACAGTTGTCCAGCATTGCCCCCATTTTATTTACAATAATCTAATGCCTACGAGATTGTGTCGAAGGTATGCCGAAAATATGCCGATGGATGTGCCCAAGCTGTGTAGAATATAATTCCGGCACAATGTGCTAAGTGACTTACCCCTTGATTGGTGCTCATTTTCTGAAGGCGGGGTCAATCAAAAGTTAGGTATTCTACTCTGAAATCTGTGAAAGGGAATCTAGTATCATGTAGAACAAAACGTCCAATGTAACACTCATTGATTATGTAATTGAGAAAAATCGTCCAATGTAACATGTCCGATGTGCAACTTGACTAGTCAAAACGTCCTATGTGCTTTTTTCTATATTGTAGCATTAAATTCAAAGTAAAATTGTGATTTTTCCGTTTCTACTGAATTTTCAGCGTTATTATTCACTGACTACATTAAACATAGTATTGCAAAATGTATTGTTTCTAAACAGGTAAAATAATAATCTGTCGAACTTCAACTTCGATTTTCTCAAAATGGTGCATATGTTACATTGGTCTATTTGAAAAGTGACGCGAGAAATGTTTATGTTTGTAAATGAAAAGCATGCAAAAGCATTACCTATTTGGTACTATTGTTCAAATGTCTTCCCACGATATTCCAGAATACGTTACATAATTTTCTGGATTTTTGATTCTGTATTTCCATCGAGTAAATACTTGCAACATCAGCAAACGTGGATCTCTTTGAGTCTGTTTTTTTTATAATGCGTTTATTTTCCAGGCTTATTTGCCGTAGCTTTGCGGAGCCGATGTTCATTGTTACTTAAAACTTACGTTAGTAAAACGGGGCCAATTACTCGCGGCTATCTCGAGGTTAGGGTAAACAAATTGTAACAAATGGATGGCAGGGTAGGGATTGAGAACACAAGGTTTGGAGAGCAATGCGCTCTTGATCTCGAACTAAGCGACATACTGATGAAAAAGACGGACATGGGGGACACCGATGGGGAGCTAACAACTTGGGAGAGCACAAGATGACACTAACTTCTAAATCCTATCGCTTTTAAAAACACATAAATCAAATTCAAATATTCGAGATCTCGGCTCACCAAGATGCCGGGCCGCAAAGGTTGTTTTCCTCGGGTCCTGAGGGATGTGGATAACTCGAATCCAGCAACACAATAGAGGGTGCATGACCAAAGCACGTGGTCGATCTCGTGATAACCACTACCACAAGCGAACAAATTGCTGCCTGCGAGCCCGATTCGACAGAAATGTGAGTCTAACGAGCAGTGATTGGACATGAGCCTCGACATGACAGGTACAAAGTCACGCATCATGTCCAATCCTTTGAACCACGCGAACAAGCCGTGAGAGGTTATAATGTAACCATCTTCCCATTTTGAGTCTTTAAAAAAAAGTCAATTCAGGTTTAAAACATTAGACTTAGAACAATTCAATTAAAAATGTTTTCATTATATTTCTCAATGCGCAGGACGGGTTGCTGGATTTATTTGCAATTTAATTGTATCGATACAACACAGCAAGTATTTAATTCAGTGAACAATTTTTTGAAACAATTGTATTTTGTTTGAATCAGAGTCGGTTAATTTCAAATCAGAGAAGTCGGAGTCGGTCGATTTTCATTCGACTCCTCAGTCCTGGGTTTTATGATTCCAGATTTCAAATGGGAATTAATTTCAAATTTTAGTGATAATTTCAGAATAATTATGTAGAGGATTACTAGAGAATATCGGAGGAAATTCGACTTGAAATCTTGAATGTGATTCAGAGGAATATGTTATGGGTATTTGGAAGTGAATGGGAATTCATAAAAGATTTGCAAGGGAGTACTGAGTTGAATCCCATGGGAATCAAATTCTGAGAGCAGTTGCAAGGTACCTTTGCGGAGAGCTCCAAAGGAATTCAGAGAAGAGTTCCAAGTAAATGTTGATGAGAGCTTTAAGAAATTCCTAGAAGTATTCCAAGGGAGTGTGTTATCAAGACGGATGAATTCAAAAAAGGTTTTGCCAAACTGTGATAAAAGGCCATACGGCTGAGACCAACTTATGAACTGAATCGAATTCGACTCAAAAGTTCAGAAAGAGGGGACTCAGTCAGTGAGTAAAGTTTTCCTCGATTTTCCAGGAAATACTTCTTGAATATGAGGAAAATCGAGAGATATTTCACTCATTTTATTACAGTGAGGAATCCTTATTTCCGGATGGTTTTTTCGTCCGTATTTTTTTTTTTAGATGCTTGGACGCCGCTAGTTCGCTAAAAACGATAGCATATCCTGTCAGCATTCTACCTGCCAAAACTCAAGTTTCTAGGAATACGGATAAAGGAATACGGGCAAAAAACCATCCGGGAATAAGGATACCCGATTGTAGTATATTCCTAGACTGAGTAAAGTTTAGCCGATTATCTTCATACTCAAGCAGTTTTTCCTCGAAAAGCGAAGAAAATTTTACTCATTCACTGACTAACCCCCTTTTTGTAATTATGAGTTGAATTCAATTCAGTTACTGAGCTGATCAGCATCCGCTGATTGTAAAAAATAAAATAAAATATGATTAGGCTATGATAAATCCTAAATCGGTTAATTAATTACTCAACATAATCTGGAGGAATGTTTTTAGCATAGATTTGGTTTACTACCAGCAAGCAAAGGCCCTTTATATAAGAAAACTCGATTGCAAATAATTTAGTCTAGTAACAAAATGTTTGATAATTCCATGACTTCATCGCTGAGATCAAAGAACTGTATACCACCAGCAAGATGCGCCTAAAGCATTTTAAATCACGCACTCTAATTTATTAACATCAAACAATTCGTATATACGTCGATCTCAAGAAAAACACAACAACAACAACCCAATTATAAACACTCAAGATCTGATCTCCAATTAAAATTATGAAAATGAAATAAGCAACTCATTTCACAGTAAAATGCCTCATAATTAATCAAAGTGGTTTTCGTGGACCGCCCCGAAAATTCAATTAAGCCATTTTTGCACCTTTCACAAACTGCAATTTTAATACAGCATCACAATCATCACCTCATCATCGTTTCCATCATTATCATCGCAGTAAACATGATTTTATGGCGCCCTCTATCGCCCGGACCACAATAAGGCAATCGAAAGGCAGTCTGCTACGCGAAACCGAAACAGAAAAAAAAACTAAAACGCAACGACGACTATGATGACTAAAAGGCAAAAACCTCACCGCAAAAGACTTACCACACGTTAGCCTCCGATGCGAATTGTTCCCATCATTGTGCCCATTCTCAGTGTGCCGTGTAGTAGCAGTAGCAGCAGCAGCAGCAGCCTTTCATTACACGACTCACACCCCGCGTGCTCCTCCCACTCCTACTCTCTTTGACTAGTGGTCCCAAATTCCTGTGCAAGCTGAACTATAGGTACGTTGCAAGCTGCGTTGCCGCCAGGCCTACTGCGTTTAGTATGATGGTCGTCCAAGGTAACACGCACCTTTAAAGTACACACACTTGCAGCGATGTCTCCAATTATCCTTCTTCAATTGCCCGCTTGATTTGTGTTATTTTCACTCACTTCTTCGGATTTTCCACTCTTCTATTTTATTCTTGTCTTGCACCTCCAGCAGCAACAGTTTAGTCATCGAGGTTCTAGTAGAAGTACATCGCACTCACCAGTTTGGTTCACTGATTATGGTAGCCAACGCGTCTAAGGTCAAGAAACTTGGTCAATAGCTGTACAATGCTTCACTAACTGCGTTCGCGGGTGTTCGGTACTTAGGATCTTAGGCACGCGCCTTCGCTACCTTAAAAACCGTTCTAATGATTCTCTACCGTGGCCAACTGCGATCATTATGGTCCATAGTACAGATTCAAGCTTCATTACGTTAATCTCGTCTCAGCAGCATCCCCGACGGGGGGTCACTTTTTTGGTTTCTTCGCACTTTATGCGATCGTCACAGTATGATGTTGCACAAAACAGCGACGAGAGGAGGTTCGCCGTTCGTGGCTTGATCCACTGATCCCATTCGATTGCACTCGCTTCCCGGAAAAGATGGCAGCCAAAAATGGCAATATGAATAACTCACACTTCTCAGTTGGGACGCCTGAACCACGGAACTGCTTAATCCGAGCGAAAAAAAAAAGAAACGAGAACTTAACGGGGCACTGAAAACTGGCCGAATGGAATGGGGAAAAAGCAGTCCAAGCAGAATCAACCCGTAACAGGTTTCCTTATTGAATAATTCTCCTCACATCTATAACGATTTCGAAGAATGGTTGCGGATTAAAACATTTTCAGCTTTTTTTTGTGTGTTGGTAGTGGATTATGGTCAATCACTGGTGGGTAGTGTTTGTGTTGTATTTTTATGCTGGTTCCAGAGTGTACGATGACGATAAATATATGCGAAGAGAATGAAGAAAAAAAACACCTCTCGATGTTGCTCTTGTGCAGACAGACAACGATGACGACGACAGCAGGCGGCTGGTTGGCGCTCTTAACACTTATTGACCACACTCAAACTACAATACATTCACAAATTCTATCAAGTGGTATCTAGTCCAGAAACGGGAATCATCAACAGGTGCATATTTCTATGCGCTAAAGCACCATTCCGGATTCTTCAAATTTCGACTGTAAAACCGTCACTTTTTATGAAACAGAAAATTCACTCACATCAAGCAGTTTACATTTCACACATTTCAGTTTGTGTATCCTTGACGGCAGTGTGTCAAGTACCCCTCGACCGATCCAAGTAACATACGGCAAAACGGTTAAACACGCGCAGCAACCTCTCAACCTGATCGTGGTTCGAATTGTTATGACCAACTGTTATGGTCGTCGCAGTGTGCTCTTCGGTGCCTGGTGCGCGCACCCCAAAACAAGAAAAGAAAGGTGATGGTGGTATCTCAACGGCCTGCTGCGTCGTCGTTGTATATGTGGATACCACCAGTAAATAGACAGGCTATGGTTTGTTCATTCAAGTCAGAGAGAGGAACCGTTTCCCGTTGGTTTCGTCGAGCGAGTTTTTTTTTTCATCGATTGCTGCGATGATCGCGCTGCCACCACCGTGTGTTGATCGAGTGAGGTGAGACGGTGCTAAAGTGGATCATAACAACAACGCAAACAGCGGTGTAACCAGAAAAGGTGAAAGAAATGACGACCTCGCGATACATATCGCGACTAGTGAGTGGTATAAAGCCATGGAGATTCCGGAGTCGCTTAACACAAAGAGTCTAAATTTATTGGTTTTTGACGTGACTCGCAGCAATGAAAAACAACTCAGCAAATGTCACATTAACAATAACAATTTCAAAGTCATAGCCAGTGCTGGAAAATATCATTATCAATGAAAAATTCCACGCGATATTTACAGAGGAGGCTCTGTCACTATCATAAGATGAAAATAGAGTGACAGAGATTTTCGCAAAGTTATCATCATTTTTTTTGTCATGACAGAACGTGACATTGTTGTTAAAAATGTAATAACGAGCTCATTTATTGATATAGGGTAAATGATGGCTTCGGCAGCCATCGACTGTTTTCGGCAACCACAATTTAAACGTTAATTTCGATGTATTTTCTCACTAAAACACTTCGCTGAATGTATTTAAACGATTCCTTAGTTTTTCAGCTTCAATCCTAATACATTTTTACGACTGAGCAAACCTGTTATGCCAGGTGTTTCTGCAAAAGAAACATAAGCACATCAAAATACGGCTGATTTCGAGTTGCCGATAATAGAACAGCTGGTTTACACGCAGTTTAAACGGAAAGGTTGCCGAAGTAAAAGAGGCTGCCGACAATAGTCACACTCACCTGAGAAGTTTGTAGCGCCTTAAAAACGTTTTCAAACCGTTTTGGACAGTTTTGTTGATTGGAATGGATAGAATAGCTAGCAGCAGATGAATGTAAACAAACAGACACATCATATGTGTGCGTGACACTGAGAAAATGCTAATAGAAGTGCGGAAGCGAGACGGCTAATACATAGGTGTAACAGTCGGAAGAGGTGTTAGTTTGTTTACTTAAATGAACCATGCCCATTTTGTTATGGCATGTTTGCTATACGAAATGCGCCTCGTGTTTATTGGCGAATTTCACATCAAAGATTGATTAATTGAGTAGGAAATCAGTTTGGCACGGCATTTGTGACCAGCATACACCTTCCGGTAGTATGAAACAGGTCAAAAACTGTTCAAATCCGCAGATAAAATTTTTGTTTTGAATTTCTGTATAGCAAAATAGTGAACTTTTCGTGAACATTAACGGCAAAGAACTCACCAACACTGGGAGACTGTGAGTTCCTGCCCACCTGTCATTTTCCATCGTGGTGCGGAAGCTGCTTAGATTGACGAGAATACGTAAATTCCCCTATATGTTACTTGCGCTGCACAAATTTTTTAAATATTTTCACTCTCACGATTACATACTATTACTTGTGGCAGTTCATCTAAATTTAACAGTAATTTGGTTTCCAAAAAATATGAAAATTAATCTCATGAGAACCCTAATAAAAAATAACCATAAACGAACGATAACCCAAAGCATTGAACTATTCCACAAATGGTTTGGATGATACCCAGAACACGTCGTTAAGCAAATTAACCATTCAATTTTTATTAGGGAACTCATGAGAACTCCTTCATGAAAATGACAGGAATGCTCATGACATATAGTTTCATCTCCTTTTGATAGTGAAAGGACCAGTTTTGTCATTCTCACATGACGGACATGATATTTACCAGCACTGGTCATAGCCGACATAATGGTCGGATCTGCCGATTTCTGAACATAAATTTAGTGCTGGCGACAAACTGGTTGATTTCGATTTCTCAGTTCACAAAAGTCATTGAGATAATCTGGTTAAATTTAACTCGTAGTTAAAAGTGACAGATTGAAAGTTATCGAACAACGCTGCTATCCCATCGTGGTTATTTTTGACAGACAAATAGTTAGATTGTTGTAACTCCAGCTGACTAGTCGATAAAACAGGGATTTTTTTTTTAACATGAAAAATAACTTTCAAACTGTCACTCAACTACCGAGCTAAAATTAACCCGGCGATTGTGACACAGCCTTATAACATTTTTGCTGAAAATACAATATGATTATGGATTATCTCTAGACGGAAATGTTTTACAGCTGGTGTCGTGTAGTGGTCGTGTAACGATCGCGTTCTTTAGATGGCCTTTTTCTTAATGTCAACGCTCAAACACGGTGTTTTAGGTGAATTCACATTTTTTTATTTGTTAAATTGTAACCATGCGGGAAACTTCCTGAGATAATTGTAAACACGGTGGCTTAAGCGCCACTCTCACGAAGAGAGACCACCGGTCGTGTTAAACTTGCCCGACACTTTGAGACTAAATCTCAGAGGACTCCCGTACGGTACGATTCTTGAAGTACCTCAACGAATCAACCCCGAATTTTCGCTAACGCCTGAGATCAAATGAACACTTTTATCCGCACTTCCTTTTATCACGAAAAACCTGCAACCCCGAAAGGATCCAAAATGCTATGCTCTATCAGCATAAACACAACGAATCGGGTTAAAAACAAATATGTATGAATAGAGAGAGATCTTACGAATGGAATACACAGTGACGTATGAACCAGCTAAGAGACGCAACGGTATGAAGGAAAACTATATACTTTACAACAACAAAACAACCAATTCAAACTATATTCACGTATTTGATAATTACATTCGTGTTGTGTTGGACAAACCCGATAACAACGGAAAAACTAAATTCATGGCCATGAAAACAAGAATACGGACATACCTGCGCAGGATTTAGGTTCCGTGAGATGCGATGCGATGCGATGCGATGCAACGGCGACGGATGAATCGGTGATAGCGACGGAGACCTTACCGAGGTCCTAGCGATGGCGACTGTCAACCTGATGATGGCGGCGGTCTCGGAATGGCGCCGATCTAGCTGCGAAAATGGCGTGCAGCGACGAAAAGTGACCCGTGTGCGGTATGGCCGAAATTAGAGGTGCGGAGGTAGTGGCGGCTGGACGGAAGGCTTCCGATTTGCTTTCTAGAGAGCTGAGCATCGACGGAGTCGAGCTTTTCCCGGGAGATTCGCTCCGCGGAAGAGAGAGACCAACGTACCGTCGCACGGCTTCGCGTACTATGTTTCCGCTTTGACCGCCCGAGATGGAATGAAATCTTCTCCTCTTTGGTTGAAATCCGAACCGAGGTACGCGATTGGCTTCGTACTCCTACGGTCCGAGCTCTCGAATGTCATGGTCCCCGGGGTTGTAACGGGATGGGGCCCTTACCGACGGCTTTTGGCGACCGTCGGGAAACAATTCGCTAAGCAGAAATTTAGCGTCTTCACTCTCCTCCGTTTGACTACCTACGAGAGGCGGGTCTTCGCTGTACACACGGGTCTGATCCGTCCTTCACGGACGAAAAATGTGGCTTTGA